GCTCCAGAAGGACGACAGGATGCTGCTAGGCGGCAAGTACAACGGCGAGCACGGACTCAAGAACGTCAACGGCCTCATCGCTGCGTTTTCCTCCTACCACCTCTGCCAAACGGTCAAGGCAATGCTTCAGTCGACTACGCCCGAACAGCGAGCAGCTATGGGGGAGAGGGCCCGCAAACAGTATCACGAAGACACCAAGTTCTTTGCGGACGCGATGCAAGAGCTGCGCGAGTTTGCAAGGAGTACAGGGGGGAGATAAGTGGTGATGTATGAAGATGACTGTTAATAAGCGCGTTGATCGCGTTCACTGTGGCTATTGAATCGAAGGCGATTAAGTTATGAGCCCCGTTTAACTCCACCGAAGCAACGGGTAGATGAACGCATGTGGTTTGGATCACTATGCCGTAGCGGATACCATGTGCTTGTACCGATAGCCAGTGGCGCAGTTCGCACAGCCATGAATACGAGAAGCTGTGTGAGGATTTGAAGTCGGCATCTCCACGTGGGGTGGCTTCACTTTATCTCGTGCTCGTCGCCATGGACAAGTCGAGCGCAGAGCAGACTTCGCGCGGTCGGCGGAGCTGGCTGTGCCTGTTGCTGGTGCCTGTGCTGGCTGTTGGTGCCCTCACGCTCGTGGTGGAGACGTCGACGCTTGGGGTGTCAAGCGGTTTGCATCAGCTGACGTGGCTCAGTCGCTTTAACAACGTACTGCCCCCGGGTGAGGCCGTGCCCGATGAAGACCTGCTGCACCTGAGTCTGCTGCATGAAGTCTGCATGGGCGACACAAACGCAACGCTGCCGTGGCAGTTCGGCTCGCCTGGGAACCAAGTGCTGGGCGGAACAGCAAATAACTCGAACGTACTGATGCACCAGAAGGACACGGACTTGCTGCAGAAGCTCCGCCATTGTCCAGACGTCGACGTCTTTTTGCCGCATAACGCGCGTACCAACGGATACTGCGAGGACGCCGGTGCCTACGTCAAGTGTAAGTCTGTAGCGCTTAGAGTTACTATGCGATGTGACACTAATGGTGGGGTTTTCAGACCTGAAGTCTCGGCTGCTGCCGGAATGGGTCCTCGACGTCAAGCTCTACGATCCCGAGCTCAAACGCGAAGTGGATTACTTCGACTTGTGCCCCAAGACGCCGATACTCTTCCTCGACACCAACTGGGCTACAGCCATTCAGTCTCCGCGCTGGCCCAAGGACAAACCCGTGTACTTGACGCCCAACATCGAGATCGTGGAGATCACGCCCTTCCACTTTTGGCGCGTTGACGGGGTGCTGTGCAAGACGAACGAGTGCTACGACCGAGTGACGAAGTGGTTCGAGCAGGAGGGCAACCCACGCAACGCCAGGGTCTTCTACACGAGACACACGTCGTCGGATCTGGCGCTGTTCGCTCGCAAGCGCCTTGGCGAGTATGGAGTTGCCCCGAAGGATTTCTCCGAGGTCAAGTTCCTCCACACTGCAGGCACCAGCTCCTCGAAGGGCACGAGAGAGGTCGTAGAGTGCTGGACGTACATTGGGGGCTTGCCTCTACTCGACGTGTACATCGACCGCAAACCGTTCTACCGCTTGTTCCCGGCCTCGTACAAGGTGAAGGTGGCGCGCAGTCTCAGCCCGATCAACATCCACTTGGGCACGATGAAGCGCCTGAACTTCAGCAAGTTGACGGCGGAGGCCGCGTTCGTTGTCAACCCGAGCTATAGTGAAGGCTACGGCCACATCATCAACCAGGCGCGCGCGTCGGGGTCTGTTGTGGTCACGACTGATGTACCTCCGTTGAACGAGTTGATCACTGCGAATGAGACGGGAGTGCTGATCCCGGTTCATCGCCAGAAGCACCCGATGGTCATGCTTGGCGGCAAGTACAGGGGCCCCCATGGTCTGGAGGGTGTGGAAGGAATGGTGGCCTCCTTTGAGAGCTCCGAGGTTTGCTCGACGGTGAAGCGGTTGGTCCAGTCGACCACGCCAGCAGAACGAGCCGCAATGGGCTTCAACGCCCGTCGCCAGTACCACGCAGACACAAAGTACTTCGCCAGCGCTATGGAGGAGCTACGGAAGTTTGCTAAGAAGAAAAAATAACAGCGTCTTCATTCCTAGCATAAAGAGGATGAACGTAGAAACATTCATTACCAAGCAAAAGATTCCTTCAAAATATCGCTACTTTGAAACCCCCTATTGGTCTCTCCGAGCTTTGGTTATCATCCAGGTAACTTGGAAGAGAAGGAAGCAGATGTCTGCGTCACCATCCCAACCGCTTCTCGGTAGGCGGCACGGAAAAAAGGTTTGCGGCTTTCACGACGCCTCGATGATCAACTCCACATCAGTTCTCTCTTCATCACTCGTCGACCATGGACACATCGAAGAAGCCTCGCACTCGACAATTCCGGCTGCAGCGCTTCTTCGTGGCTCTGCTGGTGTTGTGGGGCTTCGCGATCGTGCTGCAGACCTCGTCACTGCTCGAAGTCTCAAGGAACCGGCTGGCCACCAGTCTGCGTCTTCAGCGCGCCATCGACATCGGTTTATCGTGGCGTCGGCGCAATAACAGCAATGCCGACGGATTCCCAGAGCCTGCAGCTGATGCTGGAGACACGGGTGAAGTGTCGGACGAAGACTCGCTGCACTTGAGTTTACTACACGAACACTGCGTGGCGAACGCGAACGCCTCGCTGACGTGGCAGTTTGGCAGTCCGGGACATCAACTGGCCGACGGCACGGCCAGCAGCCCAGACGTGGTCATGCACCAAGACGACACAGATCTGCTGCAGAAGCTGCGGCAGTGTCCCGACGTGGATATTTTCCTGCCGTCGGATCTGCATGGCAACGGCTACTGCGAAGACGCAGTCGCGTACGCCAAGTGTGAGATTCAAGCTCCACTCGATCATGTTGCTGCTGCATTGAGGCCTGACAATTGTGTATTTATTTTACAGACTTGAACTCTCGGTTGCTGCCAAAGTGGGCACTGCAAGTCAAGATGTACGACGCCGAGCTCGGACGCGAGGTGGACTACTTCGACCTGTGTCCCAAGACGCCCATGATCTTCTTTAACCACTACTGGGAGGGCGTGCCGTCGATGCCGCGCTGGCCCAAGGACAAGCCGATCTACCTCATGCCCAACATCGAAATGTTCGAGTTGACTCCTGTTCATTACTGGAAGGTCGACGCTGTGCTGTGCAAGACGAAAGAATGTTTCGACCGAGTGACGAAATGGTACGAGCAAGAAGGAAACCCGCGCAACGCGTCGGTATTTTACACCAAGCACACGTCTTCGGACCAAGCGCAATTCGCTCGCAAACGGCTCGGAGACGACGCTATCGCGCCCAAAAATTTCTCCGAGATCAAGTTCATTCACACAGCAGGCACCAGCACGGGTAAAGGCACACGGGAGCTACTGCAGTGCTGGGTGCTCGTGCCTGGGCTACCACCTCTCGACGTGTACATGGACAACAAGCCGTTCGATCGTCTATTCAAGCCAAACTTCAAGCGGCTCATCAAGTTCAGTCGCAGTCCTCTCAAGACGCACTTGGGCATGCTAGAACGCTCAGCGTTCACGAAGCTCACTGCAGAGGCTGCGTTCTTCATGTGTCCGAGTACCAGCGAAGGGTACGGCCACTATATCAACCAGGCGCGCGCTTCCGGGGCCTTTGTCGTCACCACCGACGTGTCCCCAATGAACGAGCTCATCACGAATGAGACTGGGGTCTTGATCCCCGTGAAGCACCGAAAGCACACCAAGATGATCTTGGGTGGAGCCTACAGGGGAAAGCACGGCTTGAGGGACGTCGAGGGGCTTGTAGCATCGTTCAAAGGACCTGACGTTTGCGAAGCGGTCGTTGAAATGGTGAAGTCAACGACGACGGAGCAGCGAGCAGCAATGGGCGCCAACGCTCGTCGAGCGTACCATGAAGACACAAAATACTTCGCCAGAGCTATGCAAGAGCTGCGAGAGTTTGCACGACGTGGGAGTTAATAGTACGGTATATGAATGAACGATGGTATTAACACTTTACGTGGCCCGTAGGGGTCAGTCGCCTTGCTCTTCCTCTTCTTCGGCGAAGGTGTGTGTCCGTAAGATGGAGGAGGCTTGGATCTGGTACGCGTCGCCCTGCTCCTCCCGACCTCGCCACTTCATGAGCTGGCCCAGCTGCATGAGCCACTTGGCTTCCAACTTCCAGTCGCCGGCCTCCCTCGCAAGCACAAGCTTCTTCTGCAACTTATCTTCCTCGACCACGGTGTCGACTGGAGGGATGTCGTGTTGGAGATACTACGTAGGGCAGCAAAACCTCAGCCACGTTGGGATAATATCTAAGGCGAAGAGATAGTGAATACACTAACTACCAGCCCACCCTCGTGCGCTCCGTGATGTACACATAGCGATTCTAGTAGATAAACAATCCAAGTTAGATAAATGCCGACTCGTGACTATTGCACTATTAGCATCAGCGTACGTCCTTATCCTTCTTCTTCTTGACCACAGGCGGGGCCATTCGTTCAAAGTGCTGGAGCTGCAAGCACTTGGGTGCTCAAAAAAGTGTCGGCGACGAAAATAGCGCCCGGCACACAGCCGTTCGATGACGTTGAAGTGGCCGCTTTACGTTGCGACAAGACTGAAATCATTCATCTTTTTCATCTTCATCTGCGTTCATACTAACGCTCGCGAACGCCGACAACCGAAATAAAGCTCTGGTGAATATGGTCTCAAGTATTCCACGTGCCTTGCAAAGTATTCGTAGGTGTTGTTCAGCTATTGAGGCTCGCCATGCTGCTTCGTGCCCTGAAGTGGCCTCGTCTCAATGCAAAGATGGGCAACGGTGTTGGACGATTGCTTGATCTCGCCCTCATGTCTCCCGTGTCCGCTGAGGAGCTTCACCCGTTACCCGAAGTGCAGTGTTCAGTCTCAAATTCACCCCGTTCCGGTCAGAGCGCCATGCTTCAATATAAGCTTCCAAGCACCAGCTCCCAACAGCACAAGCCCACGCCGCTAGCAAAACAAGTTGCTGCCCCGCGCCCGGACTGGGACCCGATCACTTCACTGAGCAAGATCGATCACGCCGAGATCAACCACACTCGGGTGCGAGGCGGCGTCGTGTTCTACAAGGTGGAGGTGTACCTCAAGCACCAAGTCAACCGCATCCCGACGAACGTAAAGAGCGAGAGCGACCCAAACCGGAAGCCTGACTACGTGGTGAAGCGCCGCTTTAGCGACTTTGACTTGCTTCGTCGACACGTAGGGCAGCACGCTCGCCGTGAGATCGTGGGGGCGTGTCCGTATTGCGACCGCTTCCGACTGTTCATGCTGCACTGCTACAACCAGCCAAAGGCGTTCGTGAAGCTCTGCGCTGGCGTCGAGACGCGGAAGAAACTGCTTGCCAGGTTCCTCAATCGGATCATCGAGTTGACTGTAGCGGACGAGAGGGGGGGCGCGAGGATCCCGCGAGTGCGCCAGTGCCCGGGAGTCCGCGCCATTCCGATCCTCGTGGACCAGTTCATGCGCCGACGATACGTAGTGTGAAACTAGTTCGAGGCCGCTGTTTATTTCGTTGCGTGGCCAACGCAGTCGTAACTCGTGTCAGGCGAATACTACTACATGAGAAATCTGAGTTGCTTTGGTTAGCCTGTGATGGTAACTTGAAGCATTAGAGAACTTTAGAAGCTGGAACATCTCTTGGACATGGCCAAGGAAAATCTAAAAAATATGGATAATAACCAGATAGATTACGGATAGATTACCCGGCAGATGGTCCAATACTCAAGTCCAGTGGAACAACCGAAGGGTCACGTTGTTCCACTGGAACTTATTTTTGGATCAACCGGATTTCATACGTTTTTTGTCAATTCTTGTTACAAAACGTCGACTTAGTCCAGCTTCTAAAGTTCTGTACTGTGGAAGTGAGTATTTAGTACATGTAATGTATCGATTGGAAAGGAAGTAGAATTCTACACAAGTAGCTGTAAACTTCGCGCTGTTCAGATCTCGTCCGATCTTTGCGTGTCATTTTCATTCCTCATCAGCGTGTTCTGAAACTTTAGTCCGAACCGCACCTTGAAACGATACAATTGACGACGCTACTCCGTAAACTTTTGGCGCGTACCTGTGCTGTGCACTTGCACCGGAATATTTGAGATCCCATCCTGGAATAGACAAACGGGAGAGTTTGGTAAAAGTGCCGTACAGGCATCGCCGACGGCCATACGATTTTAATCGGGCTCTTATGCCCCGCACGTCTACAGAGATGACATTCTTCTCCTTCGTCGAGTTGCAAGCTTCCACCATCAACCCACCCCCGTAAGACCACACCGAACCCAGAACGCGGCCAGCTGGGTGTGGTACGTTTGCCAAATATGAGGCGGGTCGCTCTCCGGACCGCAACTGACTATTTTTTTTTCTGTTCGCGTTGTGGATACTCACGTAGTTGCAGGCGACCACGAAAGCCCCAGCATGACCCGACGCTCCGCTACCGGTATGTGTGAACTCGAGGACGCTCGTCGTGTCGGGTCCCCCAAGAGCGTAGGGCGACGACGCAAGTACTTGTGCACGTTTCTTACGATCATTCCCACTCTTGCGGTGCTGCTGACCGGCCTCGTCATCCTCGACATCATACTGGAGACCAACCTCGTCTCGAGTTCGCCGGCGTCAGTGCTTCTCAACTACCATGGGGCCTGCGTGCCCAATACCATCAACGCCAGTAATGTGGAGTACCATTCGGACCACCGATACTATTCCGAGCTGAAGAGCATGCACCACATTCCAGCGCCAGTCTTCAAGGACGACCACACCAGCCTCTGCAGCGAGTGGGGCCGCAGCTTGAAGAAGTACAGCTACTGCCTGCCGATCTCTGGCCGGAAGGACACCCCGTTCTGCGAGACTCCGGACCGCCTGGACCTGCTCAACCTTCGCTCCTCCAAGTCCATTTGCTACGCCAGCGTGCTGCACATGCTGATGGTTGAGGTCTACGAGGAGCTTCAAGCCACAGGGAACAACCCGTTCCTCACCTTTGGCTCGCTGCTAGGCGCTGTGCGCAATAAGTCGATGATCCCGTTCACGGAAGACGCCGATATTGGATACGTCGGCGAGTTGCAGGCTAAGGACGCATTGAAGGACGCGCTCTTGAAGAAGGGCTATCACATGTTCCACATGACTATTTGGCGAGTGTGCGTCGCGCCGACGCATCCGCTGGCGGGGTACCTGTACGACCCTACGTTGCCGATCACGAAAGAGTACACTGTGCCGTATTTGGACCTGTATACGATGGAGCGAAAGAAGAATGGCCATTGGAATCTACAATTTTTGAAAGGAAATCAAGATGGCGCCCTGCATGACCGCAAAGTGATGCCTTTTTCACAAGTAAGCATCAACGGGATGCAGTTCGACACGGTGCAGGATCCCAAGCACTTTTTAAAGAAGGCGTATGGCTCGGACTACATGACTCCGAAGCCGCGGAGCGGTAGCTGAGCCGAGTTGCCGCTGCTACAAGTAGGTTCGTTTAGACTACAGTAGCTCGGTTAGTTGGTGTCGTTCAATATTTTATGAGCACCAAGGGCACTTAAGTATCATACTTACAGTAGTATAAATTACTGTGATACGCACCCGCAACGCCAAACGTTTTTGCTCAAATCACCCGCCCTCGAGCCCAGGCTCCCCAAAAACTCGCAAAAAAGCTACCAAATCTAGCAGACTGCAGTCGCCGTCAAGAATAATTCCTCGGATAAGCTACGATTTAGCATTCTTAAAATCCGCGGGGTGAACGACCCTAATCATGCGTTGACTCGGAAGTCGTTCCTAGCGAAGTTATAGATGAATGCCTAACTGTTGGTGGGGCGGCTGACCAAAAGATTGACACGGTAGCTCCGCCACTTGAGGCAGCAGAAGCACCAGCGAAGCCCCTGACGCCTACGGGTACCCTACGGCACCAAGTCCCACCTTTAGTTTGACCAGAGGTCGACCACAATGCGCTGAGTCATGGACGTTATCACCAGAATCGCGCCTTTGGGCTCCATCGAGAAGCCTCCAAACGCAACAAGCCTCCGATTGTTCAGTGGCTTATGGTTTTTCAGGACGCTATTAGCTAAAGCTAAATAGACGACTGTGATCATCATCATCATCATCCATCGAGGGTGGAATCTGCGATCGAGAGAGACGAATATATTACTTCCTCCGGTTGGAAATGATCACCGGAAGTCATTATGATAGGTCGGCAGTTTTTATGTGACGGCCGAATCTTATACACGACAAATACTAATTTATAAAGTGTACTTTGAGTTCAAAGAAGGAGAAAGGTATCTACTTCGAAGTACTTTTCATTTAAAGAACAGTGCACTACCACGGTTTGAAGATTGGAGTAACGCAAGTGCGGCGTCATACAGCTCTCTACTACACGATAGACTTACCGGTAGCTCATTCGCACGTCGGAGTTTGGCCTTCCCCAAGTGTGGAAGCTTGTAGAGATTGCCGCCGCATGCACGCCTGTAGCGTAAGAAAGATGTTGTCCACAGTGTCGGGTTTGAGCTCCCGAAATGCGTCCTCAACCGACGTTATAAGCGCATCGATGCCCTTCCTTGGTAGACGGTGTTGAATGCTCTGCATTGAAGCAAAAACTCCCAAGTCAAGGCAATTGAGCTCGGGTGAGTTGGCTGCTTGGCATAACAGCCTGATGTTCCACCCTCCTTCTGTGCCCGCTGCGACAACGTCCGGATCGGTTGGCGACACGTGCGGCTTCGCATTATCTTGTTGCACGAAGATGAACTGGCGACGGTCCTTCCTTGGCCACTTCGACTTGATAGCTGGGAACACCTTGGTGATCAGATAGTCCTTGTAGACATTTCGATCGACGGTATCAAGATTGCGTGTGCAAATTTCCCCCTTGGCTCTATTCTTGCTCTTACGCTGTGCCTTATACTTCTCCGTGAAAGACCAGAGCCCCACCTTGCCATCCCATCTCTGCTTACGGTGTGGATCGTACCTACACAGAAATTTCATACACAGTGTCAAAGGTTATCCACAGTATAAAATTATAAAAATATAGAGACTTACCGAGGGCGTGCGAGTGCTGCCAGGAACATGGTCTTGGGTATGAAGCGCTTGCTCTTTCAGGCTCGTGGAGGCATCTCTTCACCATCAAATACAAGGTAGGAACGTCTGTTGCGGTCTGCGTAGAACCACTTCTCATCGACGTGAACCACGTTGTGCATCGACTCGAAGCGTAACGTCTTGTCGTCGATGAACGACAGCGCATGTTCGACACGGTCCAGCTTGTTCTCGGGGGTCAGCGCCGGCTTGATAAACGTCGTACGACGCCGTACCATGCCTTCCTTCACAGCTTGTCGTACTAGGTGCCGGGAGAGCCCTGAAGCAGCCGCAACGCGCCTCTCAACTGCCCTATCCTCCACGGGAACACTCGCCAGCTTCGTCCGCACTTCATCTCGATTCTTACGCTTCCTGCCGCTGTTCTGCTTGATCCGGCTAGCCCACTCGCCACCAGGAACACCAGCCGCCACCGCAGCCGTGTAGCGCTTCCAAATAGCGCTCACGGTGGTCGGGTCACGCTTCACATGGGCCCCGACGCGGGCGAAGGCTCCGCGGGGTAGAACTCCATTGTCACTTAGCTTGAGGAGCTCGTCGATGATGCCTCTGCGCTCCATGTCCACCAGGTTGGCCTTCGTCATGTTTTCGCGACTCTAAACGAAGTACGGCAGTTGTGGCGGGTGCCCTCTTGATATCGGCTTGCTACTTGGAGCGGTTAAATGAAAATGACGTGGGCTACAGGAACCCGTTTGAGATGAAATTGGACTATGGAAAGCGGAGATCAAGAGCTTTCTTTTTGTCCAATCTATACAGCACGTAGTGGTGGAGTTATTGGTTAAAATGTCTGTTTCTGGTGATCATTTCCAACCAGAGGAAGTATTTGTCAATAAGCTTATCGATAAGTTATCGAGCAGGGTAGCCGTCTATTAATAAAAAAACTGCTCTTTACAGTCGTCGACACGGTTGGTGTTTTTCTACCCCCTATAAATGCTGTATGTACGGAATCGTAATTTTCTGCTCGTCTCAGTTCCTCCGTACCCTAAACAACAGCCAAAGAATCCCTGATTTTTAATCAATAAAATCCTAAACAGGAGTGATTTTAGCAATTCGGCCTTAAATTTCAGCCAATGGAAACAATGAATGTTTTTTTACCCAACAAGAGCTATGCGTAGGCTAGGATAGCTAAAATAAAAACTTTGTGTGAGGCGCCTCCTGTAAAGGGCCCATTTACATAAGTAGGTAGAAGTTACATAGGTACATACGCAAAAGTAGGTGCAGTCACGCGGCTAGCGTGTGACCTGCTGTCATGTTCTGATTGGTTGAAAGTGGGGAGACAGACCCATTTCATCCAATCAGGTGCAGACTTAGATTTGAGTGGTTCACAAGGGTAAGGGGGCCTCCGCCCCATACATAAACAGAGTTAATTTTACCCTAAAGACAAGACTTGAGCTTATTATTGCAAGCTTCCTCTTATCTACAGTGTACGCTAGTGACGGTATCTCTTACCCCGTTGCATCTCCACCGTTGGCGCGATTAACCCACTGAAGGCCTAAAGACCCTCTATGATATTTAGCAGTAAATTATAGCATCCTGGAGTTGCTGCGGGCTGCCGCTTGTTGCTAAGCTGGCAGCTCCAAGTGACGGTGAGTCTGTTATTTAATAATATGTAGGTTTGTTTTGTATATTCGCTTGCTTATCTCTTACACCAAACTGTTATTGACGAACAGAATGAAAAAATGCGGTTATGTCGGCTGGCTATGCCCGGAGCCGCGCACAGCAGCAGCTCCGCATACTCCCCCCCCCCACACACACACACACAGCGATAGCAGCCCAAGGGGCAAAAGGCCCCCGAAAAGAAAAAAAACTATGCAAGTCTAGGGCCCGCAGAAGTGTTTGCATCCTTAGCTACCTCCTCGACCTCATCTCGTCATTCTCTTTGGCACTGCTCTAGTTATTGACAAAAAACGTCCGGCTTGATATTCACTTCTTGCAGTGTGTTGTTGAGCGTGTGCACCCTTCAACCTGGCTGCCGTAGACAGGATACAGTGTTAATAACACAAACCTCCCACTAACGCTATTGAATACTAACACTAAATATTGAGATCGGTGTAGCAAGTTAAACATGCCCTTGAAGATCATACATAAGATCACCGGCGATCGATCGAATAACGAGCACAAATCACTATATCGGCAAGGATATGCCACCCGCCGTATTTAGACGCATAGCCACTCACAGTTGGTAAACAAAGCTCGATTCGGAAGTACGTAGAGTACTTCTAGGCCCAGCACTGCATCCAACCTAAGCAAGCCACGCTTCCAGAACCTGAGGTAAGTTACTCACCCAGCGCAGTAATGTTCAAACGCTTAGGGCCTGGTCGGGGAACGCTCGTCTCGGCTTTCGATCGTCTTAGACGATGTGGCAACATTTTTTCTTATTTTTGATTGGCCAGTTATTAGCTCGATCGGCTAGGTTCATCGTCTCCAGACTGACCAATCTGAGACGACTAAATCACCAGTCTCACTTTGGAGACGAGCGTCTTCACTGCGTTTCGATGGTGGAGAGCGAAAGCATCGTTGCTGCAGTTGCTGCAGTTGCTGCGGCCACGGGGGCTCTCGCGACGGCGGTCCACACCGCTGTGTGGGCAATTTCGAACCCAAAGCAGAACATCCTTACCCTGACACCGCTAGAGTTTGAGGCTATGCTTTACGACGCGGTCTACGATGAGTGGTTTCGACAGAATCTCAGGTGTAGCCAAGCTACGTTTCTACGGCTTTGTGGTGTTCTGCGTCAGGAGCTGAAAGATTTTGAGCTAGATCGATTTATGAAGGAGCACTCTTTTGAAGAGAAGGTTGCTTGTTTTCTTATTTTTCTCGGCTCGCAGGGTGGCTATAGAGAAACAACGGCTGCGTTTGCAATTTCGAAGTCCTGGGCTATCGACGTGATTGGTATATTTCTCAAGGCTTTACGCCGGTCGCTGCGCAAGTTCGTTCATTTTCAGCGGCATGCTCATAAATGGACCCGAGTTCAAGGTAAATTCCAAGCGAAAGGTGGAATTCCAGGAGTGGTGGGCGCGATAGACGGCTCTCTAGTGGAGATTAACAGGCCCGAGGACTTTGAGGGATACTATTGTCGGAAGATGTTCCCAGCGCTAAATGTGCAGGCTGTTGTTGACGACAAAATGCGCTTTACTAGCGTGGAGATTCGGCCGGGCTCGTGGTCTGACCAAAAAACATTGCGTGCGTCTACTTTAGGCTCCAACTTCAAAGACTTTTTGCCAGCGGGGACCCACTTTTTAGGAGATGCAGGATATGCTATTAGTCCGGCTGTCATGACGCCGTTCATGGAAAATGATGGAGCCGGTTTGACACGCAAGCAGCTACGTTACAATTATCTGCATTCCCGAACTAGGATGACAGTCGAGTGTGCTTTTGGACTCTGGAAAGGTCGCTTCAGAATTGTTAACTGCTGCATTAACACCAAATGCGTCGAGAAGGCTGTGGATATTGTGGCTGCAACGATGGTTCTCCACAATATTTTGTTGGGTTTGAAGGATGACACTTCTTTCGAAGATGAAGGCGACGCGCGGGTGAACTTCGATGAAGAGGAAGATTTTGTTGTAACTGGAAACAACTCTGAGATGACTGCAAGCTTTCTAAGAGATGTTGGTTCGAGAAAACGTGAGTCCATTTTGGCTTTTACCGAAGCTTTTGAGCTAGTCTAGAAAACGTGTGTAGCTAGATTTTAATGGTCGCGGCGAATCAAATCCAGTAGCTCTCGAATCGTTTCATTCTGCACTCGAAGTCGCTCGCTCTGAGCTTGCATTTCCGACAAGAGTTGCTCGGTTTGGGCATGAGCCCGCTCACTTTGCTCGCGGAACAGCTCGGTCTGTTGCTGCACAGCAGCTGCAATGTCTTCGGCACTCCCATTTCGGACTGTAGCAAGTCCTTGGCCCAAAGCTTCTAGCCCTTCGCTAAACCCTTTAGCAACCGCACTCAAACCCGCCTCCACACACTTCCCCTGGGTGCGCTTCTGTCGCTTATTAGACGGCCCCGTGGAGCCAGACATGGTGCGGGGCGTTGGAGATTGAGGAGGGGGAGGCGAGGCAGGCGTGGCGAAGGCAGCGACGTCGGCGCTCGCAGCGTCACCAGCAGCAGCAATTGTGTCCGGGTCCTCCGTGCTAAGATGCGGTCGGTTGCTCATCCCCGTCGCATCACCCCAGTAGTCTTTCATGATGGAGTAGTGATTTGGGCGCCGCACGGGTCCGTCGTTGCCAGTTCGACCTTCTGCTTCCCGCGCAGACGCCCGCTTTTACTTCATGTTCTTCATCTTTAAAAAATATTCACCGCACATCATGATTAATAACTTAGTAGTGGCTCATTCCGATAGAAATTTTCACATTGTAGATATTTACCTTAGATTGACACTGCTGGTCAGTGAACACTTTGCTCTGGTTAACAGAGAGTGTTGATGCTAAGACGGCCCACGCATATTTGATGCGCTTGGTGTCCTTCGTGTTCTTGAAGTTGTCAGCTAACTCTGCGTAACGGAGGCGAAAGAACTCGCTCACATCATCATCGCTCCATGATGCAGCTGGCCTGGTCGAAGCTCCTCGTCCTCCACGACCACCGCGACCTGCCCCGCGACTACCACGGCCTCCACCATGCGGGGGTGCCCTCTCGACGCCGCTCCCGTTGGTGTCCGTGCCGCTTACGCTTCTCTCAGCAGCGTCTTCAGCTTCAGCGCCGCCCACAGGTGGAGCAGTAAGGGTGCCTTCCATGGCTGCGAGTTCTCGAGTGTGATGGTGCTGAGTCGAGCAGCTTGACACACCAAAACTAAGACGGTCTCCAGCCAACCGACCACATCGGCTCGGTTCACCTTAGGGGTAGGCTTACCGGAGACGAGCGAGACTGAGATGATCATTCCCCGACCAGGCCCTTACCGAGCGATATGATTCGAGGAACACTGCTACTAGGTCTTGCAAAGATTCGAGCAGAAGCAATCCGTCTTGGTATGATAGTGCTCCAATGACGAGGAGCTGTTTACACATTGGCTGTTGCGTTCATTGCAGTTCTGACAATCCAAGATCCCCCCCTGTAGCAGCTTGCGTATAGATGATAATTTATGAATCTTCGTTAGCCCTTACTTGCTCTACGAGTGTGTCTATGAGACAGATTAAGGCGAATTTATTAATTCTGGGATAGCAGTAACCCAAGATGGATTACTGTGGCCAGCCCAACACAGATTAATTAGGCGGTATCTCGGTATTGCCGTTTGTAGATAGTTTGGCCAACGCATGCTTATTATCTCGTTAATAATCTCGATTTTAATCCAGCCAGCTCTTAATTAAGACCTAGGTCTGATTTATATATCTCGCCAGTACGGTCTAAGATCCGAGCTTGGGGCTCTGTTTTCTCGTCCAAATCGCTTTTCTACGACTTGGAAACGCAGAAATTCCATTCTAGACGGGCCAAACCGAGTTTCTGGGCCTAAAAGCGGCCCCCACCAAAGCATAAAGCTAAATCAGCCCTCGCCTATCTCGTGTCCACTCATATTAAGAGACAGGTGTGGCCTATTTTAGAGGTCTATTTTAGAGGGCAAAGTATTTGCAAGCGGCAATAACTGTTATACTAAAGCCAAAACACCGGCCCCAGTAACTGAAGCTTACTGAATATCGCTTACTTCCTCCTGCCGGGATTAAATGCAAATATGACGTATGACAAGACCATAAGTTTTGGTAGTCGTAGCTCGGTCATCATTATCGGTTTGGAGGGGATAAAATTCTACGAGGTACTGTAAGCTTCTACGAGGTACTGTCGGGTTCTTGGAAGAAGATGAAGCTGGCCCGGTTGGAGTTACGAAGAAGATCTACTTTTTGGTCGTACAGGTGTCGATCACACGCGAGTGCTTCTGGGAGCATACCTTGTCTCCTTAGTTTGGCCTTCTTCATGTGTGGCAGCGTGTATGCGTTGTCGCCGTCGACTTTAACATGCTGAGCATGCAGTTTTGCAACGATAGGAACACGTTTTCCTGCGTTTCCTTCGACATGGAGCCGTACGCTTCCTGGGCAGCCTCGATGATCTCGTTTGTCCCCCGCAGCGGAGACCGATACTGACCGACTGCATCGATGCAAACAGGCCCAACTCAAGTGCGTTAGTATCGGGTGAGTTGGCTGGTTGACAGAGGAGACGAATGTTCCATCCATCTTGCAATCCTGCTGCGAGGATATTGGGATCAGTCGGAGGCACGTGCGGCTTTGCGTTGTCTTGTTGGATGTATATGACGTTCTTCTTGCCCTTCCTTGGCCACTTCTCTTTTATTGCTGAAATCACATGCTCAAGCCGGTAAAGCTTGTACACCTCGCGGTCCACCGTCTTGAGGTTGCGCGTTAGGACGGTGCCCTTCGTCCTGTTGCGACTTGTTCGCTTCGCAACGTACTCCTCGATATACCCAGTTTACCGTCCCATGCAGCATTTCGATGCGGATCAACCTATTGGTCAAGTTGAAGTTAGTAATATCGGCTCCGACAGGTTATAAAATAATCACAGAATAATTACCTGGGCCGCGCTACGGCGGCCAAGAACATCGTCTTCGGGATGAAGCGCTTGCTTTGGCGTCTTCTAACTGGAAGTTGTTCGTCTTCGAAGGTGATAAACAAGCGATGGTCCTTGTCAGCATCGAACCACTTCTCGTCAACGTGGGCGATGTTGTACATGGGCTCAAAATATCATCTTCGACTCGTCGATAAACGAAAGCGCAAGCGCGACGCGTCGAAGCTTGTTCTCGTCTGTCAGACAAGGCTTGATTCGTGAAGAACGTCCCGAGACGATTCCCTCCTTGAGCAGATCCTTCACCATGTACCGGGAGATGCCGGCGACTGCGGCAGCACGCAGAACCACCTGGCGATCTTGCAGAGGCACCGACGCAGCTTTTGGGTCGCTTCTCCGCGACTCCCGCTATTCTTGGCTTTCCTACTTCTTTGGCCGTTCATGGGAGACCCAGCGTGTGATGGGTCCCCCATGAACGGCCACAGAAGTGGGCCCCCAGCGTTGATGGGGGACCCAGCGACCCGAGCTGCACAATAAGCATGCCATATCCGGCTAATTGTCGAGGGGTAGCAGCCCCAACGCTTAGCCAGGTCAGTGTAACTTCCCGAGGACAAAACGAGATTGCTACAACGAATTAGAATCTCGTCTAAGATGGATTGGCGTTCTTCGTCCGTGGAGTTGGACGTCTTCATCATCGCTGGACGTGCTTGTTGTGCTTGTGGCGGAATTTGCTGAAATGAGGCGACGAAGGCGTTGTGTTCGGTAAGGCACTACTCACGGTAGAGGATACATGCCTGGTAGCCACAAATAGAGGAGATACCGGCATCTCTCCTCGTCTTTTCCGCAGTAAATTTGGAGAAGTCTACGCAATTTTAAGATGGCCAACGTCTTTATTTTCGGCAGAAGGAAGTATGTTCAATCCATCTCAATCCGATAACTCGAAAGGTAATGAAGTACGATGCGCGCTTTCCAAGCGCCAAGCACGGCTCGCAGTAGGACCGCATTGCTATTATCCCCTCGCACACAAGTACGTACAACACTAAGTTGCTGAAGTGAACAGTAAAGGAAGAAGAAAAAATATGCGTGCGCAGAAGTTGATGGTCGACGGGCGAAAGATTCATAAATATATACAATTGGTGTGCTCCAAGTCAATTTAGCAGATGCATTGTAATGGGCAACACAGATTTACATACAACAAATACTGTACTTAAGTAGTAAATTCAGATATTCTTCGTACAATGCGCGACTTTGTTTCTCATAATTTTTGCGGTGAATTGAAGGCGTCCAAGTCCAAGTCCAAGCCCGCCACGTTGCTTTGTGAAGCGACTGATACCAAGATGCTTCTCAACAAAATAGCGTTGACTAGTGTCGGCTCACTTTGCCGCATTGGTGTGTACTACTTTTACTTTAGACGTTTCAAACTGGGCGAGGATACGACTGGACTCTATGAAGACCTGCATTGCTGGATCAACGATGAAGACAATACAGTACGTCCGTTTGGTGATTTTACGTCGGTTCACCGCTATTGGATTTGCATGAGGACGAACATGGGAGGAGGCAAGCTGCCGGCACTGGAACTTGCAGTTCTTTCAATGGCGATCAACACGGCAACATGCGAGCGCTACCTTAGGGAATTGGCGCTCATTCATACTACTAAAAGAAACCGAGTGCAGCCTGAGAAGTTGAGAAAGCTGGCGCTGGTTTGAAAGCGGGTGAGAGAAGATGCCTGTACAAATGTCCATCGATCCGCGCAGCGGAAGCGCTTAACAGACCCTACCGAGCGCACGCGGCTTCAAGATCGCGACGATCGATTTTCTCACCACAAGACGACGGACAATGATTCGGACAGTGAAAGTGTCCCTAATCCTGATCGGGCGTTGGAGTACTGGAGCGAGGTACTGTGCGAACTGGAATGCGACGATGATCCCCCAGTGACACCTGACGATAATTCTGGCCACGGTAATGCAACCTAAGATGACGCTGCTGCTGCTGCCGAAGCGGAACGACGCTTTAACGAAAAGGTGAGATAAGAACCCAGTCCAAGGAGCCTATACCCGAGCAGGATCAACGCCCATTTCCCGATTTCAACGACCGATAATTCCCTCAGGAAAAAGTGTTTGCTGGGCTGCGCGGTCAAAACGCTACTCTAGCGGGGCTACCAGAGACGTCGGAGATGTCTTCAGCGCAGCCAGGTACTACTCAACTGTTTTCAGGACACTCATTCTGCTGATACAAATTATCTGTTGCTTTGTTGAGTAGTATGGCACTTTGCAAGCCCAATCCCGATTCAACACAGACGGTAAATCTCGTTTGTAGGTCCTGCTTCCTTGTGAGCGGGATGCAAGAAGAGAGCCAAAAGCATCGGTGGCTGCTCGAACCGGCGCTATCGTTTCTCTATTTCACGCACGAGATTGTTGCCCGCACGTCACGTGGGCGCTTCGGAAACCCCGCAAAAGCGTCGAGGTAACACACGACGACGTCGGCCATGGTGTTCTCGTCGCGTTGCTTCAGCGATGCAAATACGAGTGGCCGAATTACTTGTTCAGCGTCGGCTAACGTGTCCCAAAACGATACTTGTCCAAACACTCGTACTTTGCTTGGTAACTTGCTATCCTTGCGAAATTTCAGTTCTAGCATCTCCATTGCACTACGAACCCACAGCTAAGTGCAAAGCAGGCGTGCATACTGTTCCAACGCGTCTCGTAGAGTTGCTGCAGGTATAGCTCGTAGCCGTAGGCGTCACGCATGTGCTGCTGAGCTTCAACCAACCACTTGGAGGAAGAAGCGTTGATAGCGTTCACAGTATCGGACGCATTCTTCGTAACTGTTGCGTACTTTGACTTGACCGCCGCCTTCACCATGCTATTTACGTCATGAGCGAAGCAAATAACGAGAGTAATATGAGGCCATCGGAGATTTAATATTCTTCTTACTCGACCGCATTGCCCCGCATTGTCTGTTACGACAGCTCCGATGTTCCAACCTTCACGCTGCATGTCGATCATCACCCGCTCCATCTGCGGAGCGATGGCTACACCGTCGTGCCGCGATTCAGTTTGGAAGAGACTTAGGTAAGCTGTTTGCCATACAACCAAAATAAACAGTCCAACAAGTGTGCTCGTGCAATGTTCTGCCACACGTCAGACAGGAAGTTGACACGTCCTTGTGTAGTTTTTTTTTACACTCCAAGGGAGCTGTAGATTCGTCGTCCTCACACGCTAACGCATATCGGTGAACCGGTCCTCCTAGCTTCTTGCGACTTGGTAGAGGGCTAACGTCAATCAACATGGTGTGTACTAGGTGCAGGAGTTGCTATGCGTGTGTGGTTGTGTGTGGATTGTTGCCGGCCTGAAACTCGAGTGAACGCATCTAGTAACTTGCAATAACCCGCGAAGTGTTGTTATTTGGTCAATCTGGTCGGTGCATGCAGCCTGAAAGATGCAGAAGAAGGTGGTGCGACCGCCGGCTTCATAATTTCAGAGCTCCCCCCCCCCCCAGATGTTGTTAACTTTTTATAGGCGACAGTTAGATACAGGGTAAAACACACGCGTTAGATTTCGAAAATGGGGTTGAAAGTATCCAATTCGCAGCCGTTTTCACGATACACACTCTCAAACAGTAAGGTTTGAATCGGCCTAAAGACATCAGCTTTCATATCGTAGGGTAGGTCATTTTGCATGTATATGATTGGTCAAGAGACCAAACCATACGCCGACCATAAACTGAATTATTATAGTCGACCCGATTCATGGTGTTGCAGCATGGACAATTCGGTCCTTCAGACTCGATTCATCTCACCGCTACATTTGATTTAATGGTACGAATCCAGCTTGGATAGCATAACTAGAAAGCTTAATCTTCATCCCCCATCGAGCCCACGCGTGGACCCACTTTTAGTCCTTCTAGCCCCAGACCTTATTCTGTATCCTACAGAATAAGCATTAGACTTGATTAAAGTATACTTCAAAACCTGTCAAAGATTTGCTGTTGGAAGCCCTTTCGCAGCTTGCGGTCAAGCGCTGGGTACATTGTCCACAGAACAGCTACGACAGTGAACAAAACATGCTCAATGTATCCACCATATGCCGAAATGACGAGCTTCTATTGGTCGTGGCGAGCGTAGAGCACGCTCAAAACCTGCTACATGGTAATACCTTGCAAGGTTGCTAAGGCAGCATACTTCGGCTCCAGCCACCCATCTTCGGCACGTTGGGATAAACGCGGAGGAAGAAATCGCCCTGTTCCTAACTGACGTAGTGAGGAGGAACTGGGCGAATTTTTCCTTGTGCTTGACATTAGCGCATCATTAGATTTCTTTAGCCCACCTAACAAGCTTGTTACGATTGTCTCTCTAACTACACCAGGGAGCTTGCATGCTCAATAGCCCGTAATGACACGCACTACACACGGTTCCGCTTGTACGAAACAGGACAATATATGATATTCATGCCAACGTCTACTTCTCCTTTACATGTGCACGCTCTTCAATGTTCGCGCCAGCCGTGGGTCATCTTCGCCATTTTGGCAGCCTCCGCTTTGCTCTGTAGCCTCCGGCACTGCCGCTCCATTCCTGCCGCTTTCATCGGTAGCCTCCGTCGTAGCCTCTGTCCCTTCTTCTGTAATCTCCGGTGTAGCCTCATCACGCGGAGAGCTTCTTCTGTAGCGTCCGTCATAGCATCTACCGCTTCTTCTGTAGTCTCCGGCGTAGCCACACCATGACGAGCGCTTCTTCTGTAGCCTCTTGAGTAGCCACTGCATCAGCTACAATATAGCGGTAGACCCGGCTGTAGCCGGCTTCGTAGGAACCGATGAGGTTGTGCGCTGACTCCGCAATCGATCTGCCAATCGGGCCACACGCGAGAGCTCATAGCGTCGTCTGGGTCGGATCACCAGGTCTGGCAATCAACATCGCAACGTAGAATCAATATACCACTAGTACGATGTTACAGAGCAAAGTACACGCTCTCGCTTACCTGTAGATCACAATGGCGCTCATCATGATCGTCTTCGGCCATGGTCCTTGGCCACTTGGGCGCGCTTGACGGGCCCCAACAAAGCTTGCATTGCGACGTCTTGAACAGCGCAGTTTCGGAATGAAGGAAAGTACGAGTGGCTGACACGCGGCGGTTTTAGGCTTCCACCCGAATTTTCAAACCTGTTGGTGGTTTATACTCGTCCGTCTATTACCGCGGAATAAACCCCGTTTATCTTCCCATCGCTAATCTAACAGGAAGATGTGCACAATACCGGCTATACAAACATCCATATGCGAAGTTCAAAAGAGAGGACAAGTTTGCTGGATATTATGTCCTGTGATAATGCTTATTCTGTAGGATACAGAATACGGGGTTAGAGGGGTTAAATAGCTGTAACGGGGTCAGTTTTCGACGCCAGGCATCTTAGACTATTAAAAAAAGTAGAGATCACAAGGAGTTAGGCGCCTATTTTTCAGTCAAAAACAAAACTTTGGTGACGACAAAACACGCTGTCGGAACTCGGGTGCAAGGCAAGATGAAAGCTACTACAGATCTCCAGGGAGTCATCTTAGCGATCGATACCAGCAAGCGGCAGCCTTGGTACGATGTCCAATGGGATAACGGCAAGGTGGACAGAGTTTCGGCTCGCTCTATTGGTGCTGTACCTGCAACCAGAAGTCAACGGTCGCTGCCCCAAGCATCCCCCCCCCCCGAGTCGATGACGGAGCTGCTCTTGAGCACAGCCGGAGCTGATGGGGTCGATGTATCTTCTGAGTCTTCTGAGTCCGAAGCCAGCGACGACGAAGAAGCCGGAGAAGAGGAATTGGCCGATGGGAATACAGGTAGTGTAGCAGTTGTGTCTAGAATATCTGATGATGGTAAAGTTCTAGCACACAACCGCTCGTGGGAGTTCTGCTCAAGTGTTCTTGTGGAGCAAGCTAACGACTAGCTTTCACTGGCCAGGAATGGTGCAGCTCGGCGAAAAAAAGTTTATCAAGTACTTCCTTTTGATGTACCCTTCGTCGACTATTCAGAGCACACTTCAACACACCAATGCAAAATTAATTGCTTGCAGACAGCGTGCTATTGCAGAAGGAGATTTTTTCAGGTTTTTAGGAGTCCGATTGGCAATGGCTGTGGAGCCAAGACACGGTTCGCTGAGAACTTACTGGGAAAAGGAAGTCACAGAGGGCTTTGTTGGAACTGCTGCAAATTTTGGCGAGCACTTTTGTATTTCTCGTCATATTGTGTGTTCTGTTCCAAATTCCCGCGGGCGGTTTGTTGAACCGTTGTTGCGGACAGTGCATTTGCCTTTGTTAAAATGTTGGTTCGGCTAGAAGAAATATGTGGTCTCTACTTGATGGGTATGGTGAAGACTGCCTCGCGGGAATATTCGAAAACTTACATGCATGAGTGGTTTTCTACTTCCCCAATTCGTGGCTCGTTCAAAATATTGCAGAGTACGACTCCGAACGGCACACCAATGTACGCACTCTGTTGGGCAGACCGCAAACCCAAGTGCATAATTCCCAATCGTGGTACAACACTTCCTGGCACTGATAGCGTCCGCCGACGCCTTCAACTCATTGTTGACGGTGGCCAAGATTTTGCAGTACGAGCGTCGTATTGAGCGCCCCTAAATGATTGAACTGTTTTTTTTGTTCGAAGTTCTCTATTATTGCTGTGCACGACCACCTCAGGCAAGGGTGTCTCGAAATGGAGAGGACTTGGCACACTACAAAGTGGCACCATCGATTATTTGCAACGCTTTTTGGGATGGTTGTTGTAGACGCCTACAGCGCCTATCAATACGAGGCAACAGCAGCAGACTGCCTCGATTCTTCTATCGCTGATTTCAACTCTTTCATCTCTCAGCTCTCGTATCAATTGATTTTTAATGACTTTACAATGCAGCGCTCGACTCGAGTGGGTACTGGGCATCATAATAAGGAAGATGCAGCTCCGACACACACACTGCGAGCGTTTAGCACGCTGGAGCAGTATCCGTGCCTCAGTGGGATGGCGTTGCGCGCTCAGCGAAAGTGTGGCGTTTGTGGGAAGAAGCGTCATTCTACTACACGGGCTGCTCGGACCCTCTCAAGAAGCAGTTTTTCGGTTTCCATACATCCTACAGGCATGGGAAAGTTGAGGTTCATTGCAAAGGCATGAGGTGCCTTGCTTGAGGAGCAAGGTGCCGAATGGCTACCCCATTTTGAGAGATTGGCCCGTAGCTGATGTACCGCAAGTTCCGCGAGCCTGTACAAGGACCATGAATGGTAGCGGCATGCACTCGTTGGAAAGGCCCCATGAAGAGTTGAAAAATTTTCATGGTGGTGAGGCTGCGTGCTTGACCCGTAATATCACCGAGGTTGGTGTCATATCCCTTGCGATTGAGGCGCCCAACATAACTGCTGTCTGGCGCGCTGCGTTCGTGTGCACCTGATAAGGAGGTATCAGCATAGCATATACACATAACTGTTAGTGAAGCGTCCAGTAGAATTCCACTGCGTGCTTGACCACTAGTAGTTGAAAATTGATCAGGTGGAGCGTTGATGGATGACTCGCTGTGCTTGTCCACTCGTAGTTGATAAACCCGTCCGTAAGCGTCCAGCAACCGGAATTTGGATCGGGTGCGAGCTTGTCGACTGGGATCGGGAGGTGGTGCGCTGGCGTCGCATGTGATCGAGGCTAGACACTCGAGTCCTATGTCGACCAGCGACACATTGATGACTTGTAGTCGATTAAACCGGCAGTAAAGCGTCCAGGAACCGGCGTTTCGGTCTTCTGCGTGCTTGTCTACTGGGGCCAGGGAGGTGGTGCGCTGGCGTCGCATGTGATCGAGGCTAGACACTCGAGTCGCATGCCGAGACCAGCGCTACGCTGGCGAACCCGGCAGCTACTTTTAGTAACATGAGATGGAAGGATGGTCACTTCCTACATAGTCACCGCAAGGCCGTGCGGACGTTCTTGGTTCGACGACGGAGACAGGAATAGCGCCACTTAGAAAAAATGCCGACCATATGAGCTCGGAGCGCGACGACGTTGCTCGTCCGCTTCGCTTGGTCCTTGGCGGCGATGGTGCAGACGGACGAGTTGGCGTGGGCCGAATGTACTCGTCGCGTCGCCGATACCACAATGAACCTCCAGCAGCCTTGGGTGAGTCTGATGCTCGACCGTTGCTGCTCGAAGACCGACAGGTTTACGGTGTAGTCTTGTCGGCCGACCTCGGTGATCTTGTCGGAACTTGAGCTGATGCCTTCCGGACTCCGGAAATACAAACATCCATTGCTCCGGTCGCTTCAGTCCCTGCACCAGGATATTATCCCTGTGTGTGGGCTGAAGACGAACCGAGACTGTCATGCAGTGCACACTCACTCTGTTTAGGAAGTGTACGTGCAGATGTTATACTACATTTTTCTATGATAACATCTAATACAGCAAATCCCATGCGGGATATTAGCCGTGCCCACGCGTGGGCTTTCGAGCTGGATGATAAAGGCTAAAGTTTCCGCTTTCTATAACTATGATTAGATTACTCGTATCATTCTTCATTCGAGATGTATATCGATTTTAAATGATGTGCTCACAATCTTCGCCCTTTTGAAGATTTTTTTTCGACCTTTGCGTGCGTCCTCGTGCTTTTTCCCTGCATCGCAGTAGCTTAAGGCGGGCGGTATCCATCTCGTTGTATATCAAGGGACATTTTGAGGCCTTGTTTGCTTTAAACAGCCCATTAGATCACGAGTTATTAAGGAAAATATGTAAGGTTAGGAATTTTCGGGCCCTTCAATTCTGTCCCCGATAATAGCTGCGGATATGGGGCATCCCGCGAGCCATGAACGTCGCAGTTCGTCGATGTGAAGATCAACTGCGGCAGCAGTCGGACATGGCACTACTGCAAGCACTGTCACCGCGTCTACAATGCGTCTAAGCTCCCGAACGGGACGTAAGCGAATTAAAGGACGAATCGAGAACTTCAAGAGCCACCTTAGGAGGTGCGAGCACTTCATTGCGCATAGCAGATCGACAGCTTCATCCGACGCAGCGAGAGCAAACCCGACGGCTGGTGGCACACACACCATGTGTGTACAGATAACGCTTTCCCTTCCGTGTCCGTTAGATCTCTATCTTCAGCAGTTAATGGATCGCCGAGATCTTTCCTTGTACCTTGCTGCCCAGAACTGCCAACGCAAGCTCCCACTGCTTATCACTTGTGTGTGTGTGTGTGTGTGTGTGTGTGTGTACACGCGCGCGCAAAACCAGTTTATTCGAATTGAGGTCGAATTTAACATGCTGTAGGGGAGTTATCCGGGCTACAGGGTTATTAGGATTCAAGCTTTGCTAAGTAATCTAATATACCTTACCATCTGATCTGGCAAACTACTTCTACAAAAAAAGAAAATCGAACGTTGAAGGGGGGAAAAGCACACTTGCGCCTGTGCTATATTAATCGACCAACCCCAATATTATCGTAGATTTATTTGTGTGCTGGTCACTGATATGCAACGGTTAAACCTGCCCACGCAATTATTTATATCTGCTGTCTGGGTACAGCTAGCAAGTACTTTAATAAGAATCTATACTATAATTTCTTTCCCTCAAATTTCGTAGCGCGGCTGGCGCAATGGATAGCGTATCAGACTTCGAATCTGGGGGTTGCGGGTTCGAGTCCCGCGTCGCGTACACCTTTTTTCACGTTGCCTCGCTTCACGCACGAGCTCAAGTTTTCTCCCAAAGGGTTTGCTTTTGGGAATAAGGCCTGATTGGGAAGCAAACGGGTAGCCGTTTACCCACGGATTCAGGTTACAGGCGTTACGTAAGGTTTATCTGGAATTGATTGATTCAAGAAAAAGTGCCTTTGCAAAGGAATACGCGCTGTACGTGACAGCTTACCGTGATAAGCCATTCATGTTGAATCTTATTAGGAAACTCGTTAGTACTGTATACCAGAGGTGTGTGATTGGGTGGGTGAGTGGGCGTATTATATATTTTCGAGAAATGCAGTCCAGTTCAGGTGCTACCTTCCGCTTCGATACAGTCTGGTGCAAAAATATTCCCGCACCCTAAAAATTCC